CAGCCTGGCCTTGGGCACTGCCAGGGATCCAGGGGCAGCCACAGCTGCTCTGGGCACCTGTGCCAGGGCCTGCCCACCCTCACCCATCTGATATCCCATCTAACTCTGCCCTCTGGCAGTAAAAGCCATTCCCCCACCCCCACCCCATCCTTCCAGCCCTTGTCAAGAGTCTCTCTTCAGAGGGAGGAATTTCATCTCTGGCTCCAAGCAGCACCCTCGGCCCCCCCAGGAGGAAGGGTCCTCAGAAATCCCCTCCCCATGTGTCAAGCCTGTGAAAAGATCAACTTTTATAGCCCAGACCTGCCCCAAGTAAGAGCTACACAGACTTCTGAACCAAAAAGAACTTTGAAATGTCCATCTCGGGGGCCTGCAGGACAGCAGTAGGTCTGGTTTGGTGTGGCAGCTTTGCTGCTCTTGCACATCAAATCATGGCACCATTTCTGAGACCCTTTTGGCTCCTCTTCCCTGGAGTGTGCCTCCTCTGGGAGCACTCAGGGCTGAAGGGACAACACCTCTGGTCTTGTGGGAATCCTGTCGAGAGGACCCTTAGTGCTGCCTGTGAAGGAATATGAAAAGCACTCAGTTTCCACAAAAAACCCCACAAGAATTCTTAGTTCCTTATCAAAGATCAGTGCAGAGGAGCTAAACAGACTCAGACTCCTGCTGGGAGATCTCTAAGCAACATTTTTGTGGTGCAGAGTGAGGTTTTCCTTCCACCAAACTCCTTCCACCTCCATCCTCCCGAGCCAGGCTCAGCCAGGGCTGGTTTGGATCCTTTTGCCAGAGCACTGGAGGAGCTTCCAACAGAACATGAAAGCAGAGACCCACAGGGATCACAGGATCCAGTGTGAGGATCCAATAGCAACATTTAGATGGGATATTGAGCAGGAATTGTTCCCTGGCAGGGTGGGCAGGCCCTGGCACAGGGTGCCCAGAGCAGCTGTGGCTGCCCCTGGATCCCTGGCAGTGCCCAAGGCCAGGCTGGACAGGGCTTGGAGCAGCCTGGGACAGTGGAAGGTGTCCCTGCCATGGCAGGGGTGGGATGGGATGGGCTTTAAGGTCCCTCCACCCCAAACCATTCCACGATTCCATAATCCTTGTCAAATCATAACCCTACCATGTAGATGTGCCAAACTCTTCCCTCCTTGCTCTGCTCGGGTGTTTGTGCTTTTTTAGCTCTGTTTCCAACATCCAGCAAATGAATTTAGAAACATTTGGGTTTTACCTAAGAGGTGATGGCACTTAGGTGGTCGTGGAGAGATGCTTTCTGTAAATAACTTGTGTGGGAACGATTCTGGATGGCTGAGAGGCTTCCTTGACAAGAAGCAGGGAAAGAAGAAAGGAAGATTTACAGAGGAAAGTCTCAGTTTGCTTTGCCTACCAAAACAAAAGGGTTGGATTGCTGCACACAAAAGCACCAAGAGAGAGCCAAGATGCCAATTTAAGCATAAAGACAATGCTGGCATGAAACCAACTGGTGAAAAAAAAAATGGCTAAAATAAATAAAACTGGAATTAAATGGAGCTTTGTAAATCTGAGAGCTCCCAGCGTGTGCAAGGGACACACTGGGGGCTGAAGGGGGAGCTCTGTGCCTTTATGAATCCTCGGACCACACGTGGACAGCAGGATTGGGCTCAGAAGGTCCCTCCCTGCCTGGGTTCAGCAGAGCTGCAGTGGTGGCCCTGGGCACATTGCTAAGGCCTGAGCTGCTGGCTCCCATTGCTTCCTCCACATCCCATTCCTTCAAGGATTCCTGGTGACATTTGCCTCCCTAAAGAGCCCAGAGAGGCTGAAGATGGGCTGAGAGTGCCCAATCCATGGTTCTGGACCTGGGATGAGGCTGTGTGTGAAGCCAAACAAACACAGGAACGTTGAGGGGAAGGAGGAACTGAGAGCTGAGAAATGAAAGTGCTGTAGGACAAAAGAGCAGGGAAGCAGTGGAAAGGCAGAGCACCACTGAAATCTGGAAGGATTTACTCACTGGACAATCCAACAGGGAAACTCTGACCCAAAACCAGACAAACATTTATAAGGGGAATCAGAAATGTGCTAAATACCCCAGAAAACAGATTTCACAACGAAATCTCAGCTCCTGTCCAGTTTATTTCCAGTACTCACAGCCATTCCCAGTCTTCCACACACCTCTGAGGAGGGAGGTTTTCAGCTCATCAACTGATGTAGCTGGCAAAAGTCACCATGAGCAGGAAATCAAACTAAGTAGGTCACAGCTCAAAGCCTGAGCAGTAATTTCAAGGGTCTTTACCTTCCTTATGCCACCTCTTTATCTTCCAGCACCTCAGGAAATCTGCTGGTCTCATTAAGAGCAGTTGGAAGTGGGGTTTTGCCCTCCCAAAGAGGAGTCAGGGTGTCTGTGTGTGACACACACAGGAATAAACAGCTCCCTAAGTCTGGCTCCTCTGGAAACACCAGGACAGGCACCACGGAGCGTGGCTGTGAAACACTGCACTGCTCACCCCTCTCCTTGAGCAATGAACCCTCCAAACCTCAGCTTCTCCCAGAGTTAATGGCCAACAGGAGGCAGGGGAAGTTAATCTGTATCTAGAACAGCTCCATAAATAAAACTGGAAAATTCTGGCACTGAACTAGAGCTGCTTTCATTTTAAAGCCTCCACTCCTGAGTGTGGTGGCAGCCTGGGGGCATCTTCAATGGCAGTTTGCTGCCAGTCCCTAAGGGAGCACCAAGTCTTTGGACTTTGGTTTGTCACTTCCAGAGCAGGTTTGTCACTTCCCGGGGAGATGCCAAGGCCTGTCCAGGCTGGGGGTCTGCTGCCCACCCCCTTCCAGAGGGGATTTTTGGCTGCAGAGGCTCTGGGGTGGGCAGGTTGCTGCAGGGAGGGCTCGTGCTCACCAGAGCTGTCATGCTGCCACCTCTCCCCATACTGGAAGTCAGGAGTGTTTTTAAAAAAGATGTAAACAAGAGAAGCTGCTCAGCTGGGCAGGCTCCAGCCCTGCTCTCACTGCAGGGATTGCTGACAATCCCAGCACACAGAGCCCTGAGTAAATATTGGTTCAGACACGGATGCAGAGAGCACGAGGCCGCCTGCAGCTCAACAAACAGCCCGGCCAAAGCAGCTTTCCCCAGGCTGCACCTTCCTGTCCCTCCTGCAGCCCAAAAACCAGCCTGGCAAAAGAAACTTGTTACCAAAGTTGGACCTTCCTCTTCCTCCTGCAGCACCCCAAGGGCTGCCCTAGCCCTGAGCACTGGGTTTTCTGGCCAGTGACAGAATCCACGTGGATTATCCCCAAAATAAAGCAGTGTGGAGCATGGAGAGCTGGAAGAAATCACATTGCCCGTTGGTTTCTGGCTGGCTCTCAGGGTGAACTGGTTCCCTCAGCCCCAACTCTCCAAGGGGTGAGTGTGGGACAGAACTGATTCCAGGCAAAATAACAAAATAACCTTCCCTGCCCTCCAGGCCTGCTCATTTTATTTATGGGAAAATATGCTCATTAATGCTCTTATCACGGGCAGAATCTAATTGGGGGTGGGGGGGAAGTCTCCTTTGAGTATCTCCACGTTAATGAGCTGCTGGGTGAGATGTTTCAGCAGGCAAAGCTCACTCTGAGCTCTGACAGAGCAGCCTCTGCACAGGTCTTAACGCTCATCCTGCTGGCAGCTGTTTGTTTGGATAACATTTCCAAACGAAATTAGGGGTTCCAAAAGCAGAGCTGCACCGTGCACTTCCTCATCCCTGAGGCTGCCTCAGCCAAGCACATGAGGAACTGAAGGAAAACAAGCCAGGCTGTCCCTATCCCCTTCCCAGGGAATTGTCCTGCTGGGAAACCTGGGATGGTGCTGGATTCGGGGAGGGGGGGAATGGAAACAAAAAATAAACTCCTAAATCCACCACACAGGCTCCAGCAAGCAAGAGAGGGGAAGGAAAATGTTCATGGAGGAATTCCAGGGAGGCTGAAATGCTGATTATGATGGAATTGATTGTGGAAGGGTTTGCACAGGGTTTGCTCAGGTCCCCAGTGCCCTCTCCATGCAAACAGGAGGGACAAGGCTTCACCCCCTCCCCAAATTAACTCCCCTCTGTGACTCCTCAGCAAGAACCAGAGCTCCAATGTGGGAAACGGATTTGTAAAAAAATCTTAAAATGAAGAAATTTACCCACAAAGGGCAATTTTAGATGACTGGCCTTAAGGCATTTACAGCATGGTGTGACTAAAGCTGTATATAAAGCTTCTTGTAATTAGGAAATAGTTACGTTCTCATTGTGATGGTGTGAATTATAACACCTGTATTGTCTCACCTATCAAATGAGACTGAAAATGGAATAAAAGATTTTAAAACGCCTCTCAGATGCCCCATCTCTGGGCAACTAAGAAAAGGGCATGAAAAATCTCAGAAAAATCTGAAAAATCTCAGAAAAGGGCATAATCCAACATCCATCACCTCTGGGTAACTCAAGAGAGGGGTTCAAGCTGAGCAGAAACGAAACAGAAAATGGGGTGGGGAAGGGAGGCTGTTGCAACGTCTTTCACTCGATTGTGTTGCAACCACCTCCAAATTCCTCTGAGCCATTTGTTCATAACTGGCAGCAACAGCCAGAGAAAAATCAATACAGGAATCAGTGGTGTGGAACATTATCCCTAAACTGCAGACCCATAACATCAAAGTGCCCCAGCACACTTCCCAGAAATCATAGGGTGCTGCCCTCTGAGTGCTCCTTGTGGCTCCTGCTCTCTTTCCAGCTGATTTCCTATTCCCACTTCAACCTCCCCCCTCTCCCCTCACATTATTTTTATGTGGAAACTGGTCCATTGGATCCTGCACACTCAAAAAGAAGAACTCAGCCTTTCCCAGGTGCCCAGGTGATGTTGGATTCCACCCTTAATTCAGACAAATGAGAATTTACAGCATTTTCAACATCTATTACCTCATCTGCATTCAATCCCTCTCCATGCCAGCTGTTTTGAAGTGGAAAAACAGAGATCCAAACGTTGGTGTTTTTTTTTTTTTTTTTTTTTTTTTTTGTGAGAGCACAGACTTTTTTTCTTGGCCTGATGACTGTTTTGTTCTAGTTCAGTATCTCACAAAGATCTTGGAAAAATAAATTCTTCCCTGTGCTGGTAAACACCTAAAAATTCTGGCTTCATTTGGCAGAGTCTCCTTCCAGCACAAGTGGGTCTGCAGAAAGCCTGACCTTCAAATGAAATCATTCTCACAGGGATGACAATTTTCAGCTAGAATTTCCAGCTAGAAAAGGTGTTCTAATTACTTGTCCCACAAAGATCAGAATAGATTCTGACACACTAAAGAGTGATTTAGTGGGGGAGTATTTAAAATTAGATAACTGGTACTTAACTGTTACCTGTGAGGAGATGAACCAGAAGTATTAAGGAAGGAGAGGGGCAGATTTAAGAACCTTTTTTTTTTTTATTAAGACTTATAAAATATAGGTCTGATAAGTGTAGAAATATTACTCTCCAGTGTTTTGATAAAGCCTCACAAGCTTTTGCTGTCTTTTGTCTCCACAGAGAGCTGACCAACAGGAACATTTAAATTATTCCATGACTAAATGAGAGGGTGAAGTCATCACAGACAATGATTTCTATGAAAACATGTCCTGATGGACATCTCTGTCCTGTTTTGGTGCTTGGCTGCATCTCCAGACACCTCTCAAAATGAAGAATAAGCAGAGTTTTTTTGTAGTGGAATAGAGAGAGAAGGCAATCAGATCTACTTGATTTCAAAGCCTGTTTCAATAAATCAATAAATTAATGTATTTTATTCCCATTTTGGGGGAGGTACTAAATGGGCACTGCTATGCATGGAGTGCACATGCTTTGGAAGGGAGCTCATGTTTTCCTCTCATGTTCTTCCCTCGTCAGCAAATTGGAGCAGGATGAATTCCCCTGATGCTGCTAAATGCCACAAACATCCATTTCCACCTTCCAGGAGAGCCCTGAGAGCGTGATGCAGCAAAGCACAAAACACACAGGGCTTTCTGCTACTCCTCACAAAGGATTTTTGTCCCATTCCCCCTCCCTGGAGCTTTGCTGCTCCTCTAGAACACGGATGCAGGAGCAGCCTCAGCTCCAGCAGTGGCAGAAAACCAGGCAGAAGCAGCAGTTTTTGCAGCTGAGTGATTTAATCCTGCTTTAATCACCTGAATGACAGAAGTGTTTATCTTTCCTTCTTGGAATAAATGATGTTACAGAGCTGTGGTTCCAACGTGCAGGATTTCAGAACCTTAGATTTGTGAGTGTTTCAGCTCCTGAACATCTTTATAAGCACCGATCTTGTGTTATCTGATCACAAACACTTGCACACCTGAAAACACAGGGAACAGGGAAGACAGTTACTTATCCCACACCCATTTCTTGCTCTAATAAAAACAACAGGTTTTGATCTGCTTTACTTCCTGTGCAGCCATAAATTCATCTTTCAGGCTATTTCACAAAGTAAAACCCATAAAGGCTTGACAAAGAATCACTGACTGGTGAGTTGAGCTATTGTTTGAGACCTCTTTTGTGAAAAGAGGGTAAAAAGCGGAAGGAAACAAACTAAGAAAGGAGAATCTTGGAAAATCAACACCTTGGCTTTTCTCAGCCTGAAAAAATTTCAACTTGGATCCCTAACAGAGATCAGTTTGTTGGTTCTTCTGTCCTTTCCTCAGTAACTGCTCTGGTTATTGAGTAACTCAGGCTGTACAAGATTCTTTCCCAGGAGGTTTCAGGCAGCCCAGTTGCTGTGACCTGCTTGGGGTAAGAGCACAGAGCAACTGGGACCTTCTGGGGCTCTCTGGAGAGATCCCTCAGCAGCTGAGAACTGACACCAGCTCCTGGCTCTGGGACTGGGAGAGTCCTTGGAAATGCACTTGTTGGAGAGGGGAAGGCTGTGGTAGATGGAATGAGGAGGACTTTGTATGTTTGAGAACACCTGCACAGGATTTGGGATGAAGGTGATGGATGAGATTCTCTGTTTGCAATGGTTGTAAAAATGCAATGTAATAAACAAATAAAGAAGGATCCAAAGCTGTTGGAGAGTGTCCCAAGGAGGGACACGGAGCTGGGGAAGGTCTGAGGAGCGGCTGAGGGCACTTGGCTCATTCAGCTGGAGAGTTACCCTGCCACAGGAGGGGCAGTCATGGCAAAAACCAGCTGGGGATGGCAACATCCCTCAGCCTAATCCTGAAATTGTGAGTCAGAGGCTTCTGTGTGAGGATTTCTGAATCAGTGTCCATGCTAAAGTGGAAGTTGGGCTATCTCAGCAAAACTGCAGCTGGAACTAATCCCCCGTGGTGTTTAACACAAACCCAGCACAGGTTGGCTGGGCTCTTGCAGAGCTCCTGGAGCTCTCCAGGCACTCAGCTGTGAAATGGAGTGATGGACCATGGAGGTGACAGGGATTCGAAGGGCAAAGCTGTTCCCAGTTCTCAGGGAAGAGGAAACAGCTGCGGCGCTGATTCCACTCACACAGAGCCATTATAAGGAGTTACTACAGGATTACCACAGGAATAATAAATGCCATTATTGGAAATAATGAAATCTATCACCGAATGCTAACGTGGCCCTTCCACCCCCTGACACCTTCAGCCCCCAGCAGGAAAACCTTCCAAACACAACACACAAACCAGGAATTGCTAAATCCCCTCTGCTGTGTTCTGTGTGGTCCGGATATTCCGGAATTGCAGCTATCCCATTGTTTCAGGCTGGACTCTGGGCAATGCATTAAACAGAAGAGTTTCCCCTCCATAAATCAACACCCTCGAGGGTGAGGTGAGCACAAGCTCCGTTTATGTCGTGTTCTGGGAGCTAAGGACAGATGCCTGCAGCAGGAAAAGGACTTTCTTCTCATCCCTTTTACTTTCCAGGACTCCCAGATTTTTTCCCTGGCTGCTGGCCAGGCCAGGCTTCTCCTCTGAGCTGCAGGAGAGCAAACACTCTTTTATTTTGGCACTTTTTTATTTGACATTTTGTTCCATCCTGAGTTATCCCAGCAGCTTTGGGACACAAAAGGTGGGTGGAGATTTTAGACAATGATCCCTCTGCAAAGTGGAGCTGATCAATCCATTGTGCTCAGAGCTCCTGGATGAAGATATTTTCAAGCAAATAAAAATAAGGTAGTAATAAAAGCCCCTCAGAAGCAGCCAAATGCAGCTCTGGTAGCTGCAGGCAATAAAACAGGTATGTTGTGGCACGAGTTGATGAAGAAAAAAAGGAATGCAGCCATCTACAAGTTTTTTTAATGGAAAACTATGATTTTTTAAAAAACATTACAATGTCTCTTTAGCAGTTTTATTTGGTTCTAGAAACACCTTTCTCCATTTAACTTACAAGACATCCCTGCCTACAAACACCATCACTTGCACCATTATTTTGAGCTCTCATTCCATACAGGATAAAATCCATAGCTCAGGATGTGCCCTGGATGTGCCTCTGCCTTGGTTTTCAGGCTGAAACGATCAGAAATAGCTCAACCAAAGATTTGGTTCCCAAACCCAAGGGAATGATGACCTATTTTTGTGCACATTTCCTGCTTTAAGATGGATTTTGAAGTCTGACCCTCACCCCCAAGGTGTGAAGCTGTGTTTCCATCAGTCCCATCCAGAAGAGCAGTGGGGGTGTCCCGTTTCCAAATTCCCATCCTTTCCTCCAGACTGTTCTTGTTGTGGGACTGCAGAAAGACCCAACCACACCCCCAAGCCTCAGATTTCCAAGCCCCTGGCAGGAGATGGAAAGCAGAGGGCAAGGGTTGGCTGTTACAGGGATAAGCCCAACTTCTGCTGTGTAAATAACTAGATTTTACCCACTTCTTCATGAAGGCACAGCAAAAAAGCCTTTTTAGCCTAAAAGATCATCACTGTCAACCATTCCCTATCTCTAGTCCCTGACTGATCCATTAACCAACTGTTCTCCATCCTTATTCCTCTATAAATCCACAATCCAACCATTCCCCATCCCTATTCCCCTATAAATCCACAGTCCAACCATTTGCCATCCCTATTCCCCAATAAATCCACCATTCCCCAACAAATCAATTCCCCATTCCTCATGCCTATTCCTTTATAAATCCATAAACCAACCCTTCCTCTTCCCTATTTCACTATAAATCCATGAACCCATCTGTCCTCATCCCTATTTCACTATAAATCCACGAATCAACCATTCCCCATCCCTATTCCCCTATCAATCCATAAACCATCCCCTCCTTATCCCTTTTCTACTATAAACCCATAAACCAACTGTTACCCATCCCTATTCCCCTATAAATCCTTGACCTAACTATTCCCCATCCCTGTTCCCTTATAAATCCATTAACCAACTCTTCCCCATCCTTATTCCATTCCAAATCCACAAACCAACTCCTCCCCATCCCTATTTCCCTATAAATCCCTAAACCACAGTGAGGCCAGAGGGGACCCCCGACAAAACCAGCTCACAACCCCCACCCTGACTTTTCAGGGAACCACCCCGCTACTTGCGGTGGGTTTATTATTAGTTTTTAATTCAAAGTTTCCCTCAGCACCCAGCTCCGTGAGGGCGGGCTGCCGTCCCACAGGTGGTCCTGCGGCCGCCCCTCCGCCGCTTCCAGCCCCATTGCTGCACCCTACGCATCCATCCGTGTTTTTCCACGACTCCTCACGTCTCTCCCTCCCTGTGCTCCCTCACACCGCGCTCCTCCCCCGGCCCCCCCGGTTACCTCAGCCGGGCGGGGCGCGGCCGCGGGACTCGAACCGGCGGCTCCGAGGGCAGTGAGGGCTCGCGGGGCGCGCGCCGCCCGCTGCCCCGCCAGGCCCCGCCCCGCCCGCGCCGCGCGCAGCCAATCGCGCGCCGCTCCCCCCCTCCTCCCGCGCGGCACCCCCCTAGCCAATATCCCGCCCCCGCGCTCCGTTTAGCCAATAGCAAGCGAGATAATCTAATAGACACCCAAACTGCCCAATAGGAGCTGTCTCCCCGCGCGAGGGTGTGGCGCGCGCTGAGGGGCGTGGTCTCTTTGGGGGCGTGGCAGAGGAAAGGTATATTAGGAGGCAGTGGGGCCGCGGTGCCATTTTGTGTAAGCAGCGCCTGGGGAGCGGGGGGCGGAGGCGGCGGAGGGTTTCGGGGTTCGGACCAGAGCGGCCGGATGGTGAAATCCTCCCTGCAACGGATACTCAACAGCCACTGCTTCGCTAGAGAGAAAGAGGGGAATAAAAGCACCATCATGCCCGCTGTGCTGAGCCTCAGTACCGGACAGAGCAGGTGAGGCGCCGCGGCCTCCCTCAGCCTCGCACCGCTGGGCCCTCGCTGCCTCCTTCCTCTTCCTCGTCCTCGCTGTCGCCTCCCCGGTGGCCGGAGAGGGGCGGGGGACGCTGCGTGGCCAGCGGGGGAGGGGCGGCCTGGCCCCGCCGCGCGGGGAAAGGCGGTCGGGGAGGGTGGAAAAAACACAAAAAAAAAGGTGATTTTTGAGGCCCCGGCGCTGTCCCGGCCCTGGGAGGGATCCCCCCCAAGGGCACCCCCGGGCTGGGAGAGGCTCCGGGCAGGGCTGGAGGGGACCCGAGGGGAAAACAGCAATTAAGGAAAGATATCGAAGGATTGGAGGCTGTTATCCCCTTATGTAACCGTGGATACTCCGCAAAACTAATCGAGGGTAAGAGTGTTACGAGAGCTGTTGGTTAAAAACGCAGCCGAAAGATTAAACACCCCCCACAGGAAGAAAGAAAATAACCTGAATTAAGGTGGCTGGCGTGGAGCAGTGGATGCTCGGGACATCAGTTTGCCCTTTCCACCTCGTGTGTGGACTGTGGAAGGAGTTCTTTAACCGTTTTTCTGTTTAACTGCGGGCTAAAGATTGTTTTTTTCCTCCCTAAGAGCGTGTAAACATCGCTAAAACATATTTATGGTTGCAAGCCTTCCTTCTGCACTTTTTGGGGCACAAAGGTGAAATTATTGAATATTGCTACAGCACATCTTTGGAAGAGGTTTTTTGAGGTTTATTTGTAAGGGAAATTATAAATGTGCAGTTCACAGTCATTCTCAGATAAAAATAAATCATGTTAGTACTAAAGAAAAACATCTCTTTCAAAGAGCTTAAAATAATGGGTTGGATACTCATTTAATTAAAATAACGCATACAGTCAGTGCAGATTTTGCATTTTTAATAAAACTTCGCAGTTGTTACCCTGGCTTCATATTAAAATATAATTTACCTTCCAGCACATAATATTTAATCTCTTTGCCCATTCCCAGCCTTTCTAATACGGATTATTCATCACAAGTTTCAAGCTCATTAAAAAAACAACAAAACAAACAAAAAAAAAAGAAATAAAAACCCCCAAACCAATCCAAACCCCGCAACTCGGGTGCAAAATGGTGGATTATTTTGTAGCTGTTTATTCGGATTTGCAAATGGCTGCAGTGGCTGCTGCTGGCACCCGGAGACAGGACGATTGTGAAAATTCCCCCAAGGGCCTCGATTGCTGCATCTGCTGAGATGACGCAACTCAAGAGTGGAGCCTGCGGGTGAAGGATGGTGCAGAGGGAGGGGCCAGCGCTGCTCTGCCTCGGGAGGAGTGAAACAGCCTTGGAAAGGATGGGGAGAAACTTAAAAATCTTCCTCACATCTTCAGAAATATGAGGTTTTTCTCCTCGAGTGCTGAGCGTTGTGGAATCGCTCCGAGGAGTTCAGTGGGAAGAGGTTTGGAGGTGTTTTTGGAGGTTTTGCAGAGGTTCAGGTGTGGCCTCGGCCACACTGGAGGTGGAGATGATTCTCTGGGAAATATCCCAGGGAAAAGTGATCCCTGCCTTGCTGGGCTGGGGATTTGTGCTGCCTCAGAGCAAGGAGGGCAGAAAAAAGCACATTCCTGCAGAAAGCTGCTTCTCCTGAGGCTGGAGCAGGCCTGCCCTGGCACAGAAACACACCTGGCTCACTCAACCTGAGTTTTCACTCAAAATACTGCAGTGGCAGCTCCCTGGGCACTGTCCCTGGTGCGGAGCTTCCTTTGTCCTCCCCCTTGCAGTGGGAGGAGTCCTTTGGCCTAGGTTTTGGTTTTTTAACACTCTTTAAATCCTGCAAGTCCCAGGGTTTTTTCCAAGCTTTCCTGCCTGTGTAACCATGCTCCCTTTGCAGTTCCAGGGTTCCCTTCAATTGCTGTAGTAACCTGGGTCCGGGGCCTCGGTGGTGCTCCTGATGTCCCTCACCCACCCCTGAAGATCCCAGGTGGGCGAGGGAATAGTCAGAGGGATCACAATCTTTCAGCTAATTTATTTTATTCGGTGAGTACGAGGTGCAAACAGCTCATGGTGAGCTTGGCAGCATTCCCTGCCTCACTCCCTCCTCTGGAAATGAACAGGAAAATAATTCTGTCCTTCTCCCTGCTGCAGGATAATCGGCTGAATGTCACAGAAGAACTAACACCTAACAACAGGACAAGAATTCTCAATGTCCAGTCAAGGCTTACAGATGCCAAACACATCAGTTGGAGAGCAGTGCTGAACAACAACAACCTCTACATTGAAATTCCCAGCGGTGCTCTGCCTGAGGGGAGCAAGGACAGGTGGGTTAGGGAAAACTTGGCTGTGGGTTAGCACGAGGTCTCTCAGGGCGGTGGGAGAACACTTGGCTCTTTGTAGTTTGAATGTTTAGTTTTAGTTCTTGAGGCTCTCTTGTGAGCCTGGTCTCAGGGAGACCCAGCCCAAAGTCTTGGATTTCAGGCACTGAGATTTCCAATCCAGGCTGCTTCCAGTCTGTCACTGCAGCTCCTTCAGCTTTTTATGTGCCACTGAGGAGTCTGCCCTTGAGTTCTGCCTGGGCTTCAGGGATCTGCTGGTGTGAGGCTCCAGCCTATGCCTCTTCACTAGGAATTCCTGTGTGGATTGGCTCTCAGGGCCTTGCTAACTCTCTCTGAAAAAGCACTTGCTGCCAGAACTCTGGGATTGTTCAAACAATGCTCAGGGTGGGGTTGTTGGGGTGCCTGTGCAGGGCCAGGAGTTGGCCTGGCTGATCCCTGTGGTCCCTCCCATCCCAGGACATTCCCTGTTCCACAGGCACTGAGCCCCTGGTGTTTCTCTTGCAGTTTTGCAGTTCTTCTCGAGTTTGCTGAAGAACAGCTCCGAGTTGAGCACGTGTTCATCTGTTTCCACAAGAACAGAGATGACAGAGGTGGGTGTTCCCTATGCCTCCAGAGACACAAAATACCTTTTGGTGGAAATTTAAGGGGTTTTTTTCAGTATCCCATGGGTGAAACCTGTCTCCTGCTTTATTTTCTAGCTGCACTGCTCCGTACTTTCAGCTTTTTGGGCTTTGAGATTGTGAGACCAGGGCATCCCCTTGTCCCCAAGAGACCAGATGCTTGCTTCATGGCCTACACGTTTGAGAGAGACTCAGCAGAAGAAGACTAGATTGCAATGTTTGCCTCTTTAGAGCTTTCTTGTTGTCTATAAAGATGATTCTGTAGAAATTTTGTCAACATCTTATTCCAGTCTATCTTAACTCCTGTACGAAACCTTGTGTGACCCAGCTGCTTTGGTGGTGAGATGTTGAAAATTTCAGACTCCACATCTTTCTCTGGATTTTGTGCGCATGTTGTGGTTGTGCAAAAATAAATGCTCCCTCCAAATTTAGCAGTATATTTCTTGAAGTTTAATATTGTGTTTGTGATACTGAAGTATTTGCTTTAATTCTAAATAAAAATTTATATTTTACTTTTTATTGCTGGTTTTAAGCTGTTTAAAGACTTGCACTCTTGAAGAGGTGGCTCTGGAACTGCCCCAACCATTAAAAGTTGCAGGTGTGGAAAGGCTTTGCTTGTTCTTTGCTTGACTGGAACTCGTGGGTGTGCTCTGACAGGGCTTGGAATAATCCAGCAATCCTGGAAAAGTCTACTTTTAGTGAGTAATTAGCAGGCATGCTAATTAGGACCAGTGCTTGCCTGCTCTGCCAGTGTTTTGTAGGATATCCAGGGTGTGATTTGGTTGGGAAGTCTTAAGTGGAATGTGATCAGCTCAACCCATGGCTGCTTTAAATACCAAATATGCAACTTAAATACCTGGAATTTCAGTGTTCCCCTAAGAGTGCAGCCTTTCCAGTGTGTGCAGGTGACTCCAGGAATTCTGGCTGTGAGCTGGGAAGGTTTGTGGCACTCCTGCAGCTCAATGTCATTGAGGCTGGGCAGGTTTCTTGGGGTTTGTGGTTCAAGGGTGAGGAGGGGGCTGTGCTGGGAACCCCTTGGTGTTCAGGATGGTGAGCAGAAGGGCAAAGGGGCTCCTTGTAATGCTGGAATTAACAACCTTGAACTGAAGTTACAACAAGTCTCCAAAGGGGCTGAGCTTTAAGGTGAATGATTTCCATGTTTTTCAGTGCTTGCAGGCTTGTTTGGCACTGTTGGAGCTGATGAATCTTTCCTCTATAAAACATTGGAACAGGGAATCCCTGGCATGGGTTTATTTCACCAGGTTCTGCTGGGTGTGAGTAGAAGTCTGAGTGCTGTGAAATGTGTGTGTAAGGCCCTAAGCCCATCCCTGGGCTCAGCAGTGTTGGAATCCCATGGAATACACTGAAATAGCCCCTGGAACTCCTTGGAGATACAGCACAGAGTAACCTGGGGCTGTGTGAGCAGTGGTGTGGTGCAAACTGGGGGCTCTTGATGGGCTCTTTAATTTTCTCTTCCCAATTCTCTCATGGCCCTACATTTGTGCTCATCCTGGAGGGATTTT